ACTTGAGGAATGGCAAGTGTCAGAAACCCAGAAATTCCTGTCTGCTGTGAGGAAGCTGAGGATGGGATCTGGTTTTTTGACCTGGTCAAAGGCTACTTTCAGGATGCAAAGGTAATAGGACTACAGGCAGGATAGGAGTGCATGAGACCTGCTTCCCAGAACTGAGGCTGAAATGGACTTAAACCCCGAGAAGGAACATTTCTAATGGCTTCTTTGGGTTAGGGTGTAACAGCAGGGAAAGCTGCCCATAAAAGCCTAGGGATGGGGGGAGACTGGAATTTGGCCCTGTCTTCAGCTCTCTCACTCTCACTCACTCACTCTCATTCCCTCTCCATTGTTACCTGAATAAGGTAGGCCACACCAGATGGGAAGGAGAGATCTAGAATGGCATTCTTTCTCACTGCTTATTCTGTGTTTTGTCTGGGGCTTACACCTCTCTCTCCAGCCCCACTCTTACCCTTCAGTATTTGAAAATTCTCAGATGGTTATTTTCATTGACTCTCTACCATAATGGCTTGTAAATTATGTACATAAAGCCAGGCCTGGTGGCATGCACCTGTAGTCCCAGCTACTCCTGAGGTGGGAAGAGCCCTAAAGCCCAGGAGTTCAAGGCCAGCCTGGACAACATAGAGACACACACACCCCTTTCTCTCTCTCTCTCTCTCTCTCTCTCTCTCTCTCTCTCTCTCACACACACACACACACACACACACTACATGCATACATTATTTGATATTTTAAGTAAATAATAAAATGAGAAGCAAAAATAGTGAAAGAGGGAACTGACCAAATCACTCTGGACCCATCACTCTGGCTCTATTTGCCTGCAATGTGATCCCAGAGCCATGGATGTCTTGGTACAGCCACTGTGAAATTCATGCCAACCACTTATTCTCAGGTCAGGCAGCATCTACTCTACTCATAGAAAATGAGTGTTCTCAACCTCATAGGAACCACAATTTTACTCAGCAATTTCACCCCAGGTTTTAAATGCAAATACCCTTTCAGCCAGTATGGCACATACAGTTCATTCATTACTCAGCTATTGAAAAGTATTCTTTCCTTCTTTGCTAATTAGAATCTCAGTTTTTCTGCCCAACCCCAGAGATAAATCATGGGTAATCTAAGACAGTCTTCCCATTTCCTCTGCAAACATTCATTTTCCCAGCCTCTCTGTGGCAACTTCTGGGGAAGATGCCATCACAAGGAGAGTGTCATTTGAGTAAAGATCCTTTTGCCACTGCCCTTTACACACAGCTTCTCCCTGCTGTGACATTTAGAGTTGCATCAACCCTCTGGCACTCATGAGGTGACCATCACAAGGACAAAAGCCAGCACAGAGAGGCCAGTGGAGAAGGAAAGTATAAGCCTGATTGCTAGTGTCACAGTTGAGCTGTCAAACCAACCCCACACTCCTTCTCACTGCACTCCAACTGGAGAAAATCAGATGTCTTTGTTGGAAGTCCCTTTTAGTTGAACTTCTTATTACCTGCAGCCCAAAGAATTCTTAATTGACATGCTAATAAACAGCATTCATTCTTTCATTGGCTCAACAAACATTTATTGAGAGGCTCCAGTTAAAAAACCAGAATTCACTGGTAAAGTGGCTCAAGTGATAGAGAGCGTGCTAGCAAGCATTAGGCCCTGAGTTCAAACCCCACCCTGCTAATATCCACAAATGAGAAAAAACAGGTGATACTTATCTTTGTGGGACTAGCTAATTTCACATAACATGATGATCTCTATTTCCATCCATTTTCCAGCAAATAATATTTCATTCTCATTAATTGCAGAGTAAAACACCATTGTGTGCACATATCACATTTTTTAATCCATCCATCCATTGATGAGCACCTAGATTAATTCCATAATTTGGCTATTGTGAATAGTGCTGCAACAAACATGGGCATACAGGTAAGCTCTAGCAAGCTGATTTAGGTTCTTTTGGGTACATACCTAGAAGTGGCATGGCTGAATCATATGGGAGTTCTATTTTTAATTTTTTTGAGGAACTTCCATACTGATTTCCACAATGGCTGCACTAATTTACATTCTCACCGGCAGTAAATAAGAATTCCTTCCCTCCCTCCTGCATCCTTGCCAGCATTTGTTATTTGTTTTCTTTATAATAGCCATTCTGGTGGGAGTGAGATGGACTCTCAATGTAGTTTTGATTTGCATTTCCCTGGTGACTAAGGATGTTGAACATTTTTTCATTTATTAGCATTTCATTTATTGTCCATTTGTTCACTGGATTATTTTTTATATTTATATTTTGAGTTCTTTATATATTCTGGATATTAATCCCCTGTCAGATGAATATATGCAAAGACTTTCTATCACTATTGTTTCCTCAGCAGAAACTTTTTTTTTTTTTTTTGGTGGGACTAGGGTTTGAACTCAGGGCTTCACACTTGTAAATGGGATTGTTTTCTCTACCACTTGAGCCACATTTTGCTATAGTAATTTTGGAGTTGGAGTCTCACAAACTATTAATCTGAACTGGCCTCACACCTTGATCCACCCAATCTCAGCCTCCCATGTAGCTAGGATTTCAGGCATGAGCCACTGGTGCCCAGTTTGAAGGTTTTTATCTTGATACAATCCCACTTGTCAAGTCCTGCTCTTATTTCCTGAGTTTTTGGAATCCTATTCAGAACGTCCTTGCCTGTGCCTGTATCTGGAAGTATTTCTCCTATGTTTTCTTCTAGTAGTTTCAAAGTTTCAAGTTTTACATTAAGGTCTGTGATCCATTTTGAATTTGTTTTCATACATGGTGAGATACAGGGCTCTAGTTTCAGTCTTCTACAGGTGGATATTCAGTTTTCCCAGCACCATTTATTAAAGAGGCTTTTTCCAATGTTTTTGGCACTTTTGTCAAGAATCAGACGATGCATGCTTGGGCTTATCTCTGGATCTTCTATTCTACTCCAATGATCTCTGTGTGTCTGTTTTTATGCCAGTACCATGCTGTGTTTGTTACTATGACTCTGTAGTATAGTTTGAAGTCAGATATTATGACACTTTCAGCATTGCTCTTGTTGCCCAGGATTTCTTTGGCTATTAAGGGTCTTTAGTGTTCCCGTATGTTTTAGGATTTTTTTTTCTATAAAGAATGCTTTTGGAATTTTTTTTTGGCAGTACTGGAGTTTGAACTCATGGCTTCATGCTTGCTAGGCAGACATTCTACTGCTTAAGCTACTCCTCCAGCCCAGTGTCATTGAAATTTTGATAGTGATTAAACTGAATTTGTATGTCATTTTTAGGCGTATGGCCAAATTTTTAAAATTCTAATTCTGCCAATCCATGAATATGGAGGTCTTTCCAACTTTGAATGTCTTCATTTTCTCTCTGCAGTGTTTCATTGCTCTCATTATAGAAGTCTTTGACATCTTTGGTTCAGTTTATGCCTAGGTACTTTTGTTGGGGTACTTTAACTTGCAGCCCACCTAGCCTAAAAATCAGCTATAACTGGCATGACCCTTGGGTAACCTCGTGAAGAGGAAGATAGCCTTGAAACAAGGTTGTAAAACATGGTAAACTGTCAATTAAAAGCTGTAACTTCAGACAGAGCTGTGAGGAATTGCCCATTAGAGCCATGCAAAAGTCCGAGATGAAAGGCACCATGCAGAGATAAGCACCCATTCCTGCCTTTCTTTGTCTCCACTTGTAAATAAACTTCCCAAAACAGAACTCCCCTGCTGTTCTTATCTAAACCTTAGGTTTCTATTCCACTACTAGCCCTTAATTTATGGGAGAACACATTCCTTGTAACCTGATAAGTAAACCTCTGGTGTTTCCCCAGTTCTCAATAAATAATCTTACCCCAACACCAGGATGTGGGCAAGATCAGGAAAATGTGACCCCAGGGGCATGAGGAATTCCTATGTGACAATGATTGATGTTTTAAAGAGTATAAGACCTGCTTAAACTTTGCGTTCAGGGTCCTTGTTGAAACCTGCTGTCTCAGGCAGATGCTCGGACCCTAGCTAGCTAGAAAATAAACCTCACCTTGTGACTTCGTCTCGAGTGTCCTTTCTCCTCTCAGAAGGTGGTCGGCCTCGTACCCTAACACTTTTTTGAGGCTATTGTACATGGGTTTGCTTTCCAGACTTCTTTTTGAGTTCATTGTTGGTCTGTAGGAAAGCTATTGTTCTTCATACATTGATTTTCTATCCTGCTAACTTTGCTGAAAGACCTAAGAGTCTTCTAGTAGAGTCTTTAGGATCCTTTAAGTATCCCTGCAAACAGGGATAGTTTGACTTCTTCCTTTCCTATTTGTATCCCTGTTATGTTTTTCTCTGGCCTTATTGAGCTGGCTAAGAATTTATGCTCACTATGGAGCTGACCTGTATACAGGCTGACCTGTAACTCACTATGCAGCCCAGGCTGGCCTCAAAGTTGGGATCCTCTTGCCTCAGTCTCCCAAGTACTGGGATTATAGGTATGGCTTTTTTTAAAGAGTATATGCTATGACTCAAAAGATCCCTAAAATATAGAATATGATACATTTTGTATACATTTGAAAAGATTTTTTTTAAACTCCCTTGTACCCAGGAACCTAGGGTTATCACCTCCCCAAACTGCCTATCTTGGAACCAAGAGCTGGCCTTCAGGGAAGGAGGCCCAAGGTGGGAACATTCAAACAATTATAATAAATAAGCCACCCACCCATTTCACCCCCAAGTCATATTCTCCAATAAAAGAGGTTAGCAGGGGTGGAGGTGTGGCTCAAGCGGTAGATCGCCTGCTTTGCAAATGCAAACCCTTGAGTTCAAACTCCGGTCCCACCAAAAAAAAAAAAAAAAAACGAAAAGGAAAGCATGGCTAATGACCCTAGGTTTAATTTCCACCCATCTCCCCCTTCCCAATTTTCAGTGTTCTCAGAAGAAAAATGGACCACCATCCTTCCTCAGTATGTAAATCTCACAACCCCACGACCACACACGGACCTGCCAGTTCTCCTATCTCATCTGACCCCCATACAGCACAGACAAGTTCACACCCGTGTTTATTGAGAAGGAAAAGCACCAGCACCCGCTGCCCAACCCCAGGGCTGTTTCCTGTGCTTCAAGCAGCAGATGGAAGTGAAGCAGAGCAGAGAGGGCCACAAGTGTCCTTGGGAATGTTATAAGCCCAGATGTCACTCTCTCCTGGGTTCACAGGACACATCTCCCAAAGTTGCTGCAGACACTCTGGAGAAATCAGAACAATTAGGGCACCCGGGCCTCTGCAAGTAGAAGAAATAGGTCACAACTGTGCCTTCCTGGCTCCAGATATCCTGTATGTCCCCTCTACCCTGGAAAGTCTTGGCAATTATCTCTCTTAAAAGCCTTAAAGGACTGCTAGCTTCCTACACAACCCGATTCAAACTGGCATTGGAGACTTGTGTCATTCAGAATTCAACCTGGCATGTCCTCTTTTATAACAAAATGGAAATTCCCCTTTATCCAACCTTGCTCCAGCCTTCATTGCCAAAACATGTCACATACATTCCCACCCTCTGCGCCTTTGCCAACAATCACATTACCTGTCTGGCATGTTCTCTGCATTTTCCCCACTTTGTCACATCTGCCTAGCCCATCTCTCCCACAAAGACATCCCAAGCGCCACACTCACTCTGAATACCTACAAGCCCATACTGTCTATATGAGGTTCTAGTCTTGACATAGGATCTTTCTCTTAATTGGACTCTTCTTGACCTTTGGAAGTTCCCTTCCCAGAACCTAAGCCAGTCTTTGCGCATAGCAGTTAAGTCTGCTAACTTGACAATTGGTTGCTGATAACAAAAGCCTGGACTCACCTAATTCAGAATCAGATCCAGTAGTCCAGTTGGAAATCATTGTCTGTTTGGATGGCAGGACCAATGGAACACAGAAGCGGCCACAGCCTGACTTGCAGCACTTTTCTCCAGCTTGGCAGTTCTCATCCGTCATGCAGCCAACAATACACAGACCCACCAGAATGTTTGGACAATTACCATCCCGCCCTGTTGGAAAAACAGGAATGCATAAAGAGACAAGCTGTGCTGTCTCCAAGTTCCCATGGAGAACTTGAAGGAGGAGCTCCAAGTGAAACAATCTATGACCCCTAACAGATCTTAAGCAATCTGGCTGGGGAACCATGAAGCTGGAGGATCTAAGAATCTACAGGTATCCAAAAAAATCTCTGAACCAAGAGATTCAAATGGTGTCCCAAAGGGAGCTGCTTAGAGGTAATTGAAAGTTTATTAGCTATTCAAGTTAAGGAGTAGGGAGCAGTGGGGTACAGAAGAGCTTGGCTCCATCCCCCTTCCCTATGCTTAGGTTTTATAGTGTTGTTCCCTTGTCTGCCACCCTAGAGGAGGTTTTGTGCCCCTGAAGCACCCTGCATATATGCCTCCCCTCATCAAACTTTATTATACAAATAGTCCCTGACTTACAATAGTTCAGCATACAATGGTACAAGAGCCATACGCATTCACATTAGATTTTAAATTTTGATCCTCTCCCAGACTCATGATATATATCACAATACTCTCTAACAATGCTGGGCAGCAGTAGGAGCTCCCAGTCAGCCACAGGATCACAAAGTCACACAACTAACACTCTAGAGTGGGTCATGCATGCTGCTAACCCATGATGTTTAGTAAACTGTGTGTATTAAAATTGCTTTCAACCTACAATAGGTTTATCAGGCATGACCCTGTAAGTCAAGGAATATCTGTGTTCTTCATCTAATTGTCTATCTTCCCTGACAGATTGTATGCTATGTACAAACAAAAAACAAAAATCTGTCCCTAACACTTTCAGAATTGCCTGGATTAAGACAGGTCAAGCATGGTAGAACATGCCTATAATCACTGCTAATCAGGAAATGGAGATTGGGAGAATTGAGGTTTTTAAGACCAGTCCCAGCAAAAAGTTAATGAGCCCCCCGACTCAACCAACAAGCCGGGCATGGAGTCCCACACCTGTGGTCCCAACTATGTGGGAACTAGATCATGGTCTGAGGCCAGCCAAGAGAAAAAACATGAGACCCTACCTGAAAAATAACTAAAACAAAAAAAGGAGTTGGAGACATGGCTTATGTGATGGAATGTTTGCCTAGCAAGCATGAGGTGCTGAGTTCAAACCCAGTACCACCAAAATAAAAATTTTTTAAATTAAAAAGCAAGTAAGACAACACGTGAGACAGGTATGGTGGTACATACCTGTAATCCTAGCACTCAGAAAGTGGAAGCAGGAGGATAACAAGTTTGAGACCCTAAGCCAATAATTTTGAAATGGAGTTCCACAGTGCCCAGAACAAAAGGGACACTTGGAAATATATATTCATTTTTCATCTGGGTGCTGGTGGTTCACACCTGCAATTCTACCTACTTGGGAGGCTGAGATCAGGAGGATCTTGGTTTGAGGCCAGTTTACACAAATAGTTCATAAGACCCCATCTCCAAAATAACCAAAGCAAAATGGACTGGAGGTGGGACTCAAGCAGTAGAGCTCCTGCTTTGCAAAGCACAAAGCAATGAGTTCAAGTCCTGGTCCCACCAAATACATAAATAAATTCTTTTTTGAAAAAATAAAGAAATTAGAACAGGAATGCTTTCAGCTATTTTCATCACATAATTATATATATATATATATGATTTTATTTGGGGCAGAGGGGAATCTGTGTGATAAAAAATAGGTCTGAGCCTCAAAAAGAGAGGTTTGTTTACTGAAGGTCACAGAGCAAATCCGCAGCAGAACCAAGATCAGAAGCCACACTGCCAGTCTTCCAACCTAGAGTTTTTCCTACTACTGCACACTGCCTTCCCCCTTAGTTCTTTTCATGCAAACATGGGCCCCTTAGAAGGAGGGGGTTGTTTAGGTTGAAGGACAGAGGGACAGGAAGGGTGACAACTCTGGCTCCTCCCAGGAATATGGCCACAGGAAGCTCCCTCTCAAGTTGACTCTGTAACCCAGGGAGCACTTACAGATTTCTTCTCCAAAAACAGCCAACATACCTCCAACGATGTCTCCACGGCAGGTGTGACCACAGCCAGTACTACAGCATTTATGCCCCTGGGGACAGGATGCATCCCCATCACACAGCTCCTCACATGGAAGGGGATCGGCAGGACATTCGCCACTAAACTCTGTCATAGAATCAAAGTGTTGAAGCCCAGAAGGGCTCAAGCCTAGAATATGAAATATATTTTCCATTGTATCCCATGTGGATGTTAACATATATTTTAAAGCACACATTTATGTGTATCATGTATATGTACATAGCTGTGAGGAAGGGTAAATCCTTGTTGTCTTAAGATAACCAAGGTCACCAGGTTTGGGGATGTTTTGTTACACAGAAATAGATATATGAAATGCTTATTAATAGGTTTGTTCTAACAAGCAGTGAGTCCAGATAAAATGATTCACTTCCCCATATTCTCTTGCAGAGGGGTGACCACAAAGACAAAAACTGATACAAACTCTGTTTCTTCAATTCTTTCTTCTTCCAGTCCAAAGCAGACATAATATGGAAAGATAGAGGAGTTTTCTTTGAACCAGAAGACAACTAGTATGAGGATAAAATCAAGGGCTGGCGAGGCAAAAAAAAAAGAGAAATAACTTCATCCTTATTAGCATCATAGTACTGACACACCAGCCCTGACCCCGACTTCCAGAGTTCTTGTTATGTGAGAACACTGAAACCTCATTTGGTTAATTTTCAGTTGTGGACCGTCAAACATATTCCAGATATGCCTCATCATCCCTGTGAAGATAATGAAACCCAGAGAAGAGAATGGGGCTCGTCCAAAACTACAGAGTGAGTCAAGGCTAAGCAAGACAAAACTCAACCTCTTGATTTGCAATGAGGTACTTTCTACTACACCATCCTTAAAACATGAAGGCAACTTGGCCAGGTCCTCAGAAGCAGACACACCCAAAGAAGGCCACATCCAAACCAAACCAACTTACCATGACTCACTGGACTCAGTGTTTATTTCAAATTTTTAAAGGGAGAGAGGTGACAGGCAATTAAAGGTTTTACAGAAAACCAAAACAAGACTGGCCCCGTGCCTCTAGCGTATGGCTGGCTCCAGGAAGTCTGCCACAGTGGGAAAAGAAAGTGCTGGACGCCAAGGAGAGAACAGGCAGCTAAACAGCTGAGACAATAATCTTGCATCCTGGGATTTTCCTGTACGGGCTCTACTTGAAATATTCTATGTCATTGTGAGATCACATCAAAACTATGTGTCCTGCTGGGCACTGGTGGCTCATGCCTGTAATCCTAGCTACTCAAGAGGCAGAGATCAGGAGGATCATGATTTGAAGCCAGCCCCAGGCAAATACTTCGTGAAACTCAATCTCAATAATACCCAACACAAAACAGGGTTGGTGGAGTGGCTCAAGTGGTAGAGTACCTGTATAACAAGTGTGAGGCCCTGAGTGCCAACCCTATTACTGCCAAGAAAAAAAAAATACTAGGAGTAAAAATTAGAGATATGTACTCCAGAATTCTTTAAAAATGGCCACTAAAGCCAGATGCAGGTAGCTCACACCTGTAATCCTAGCTACTTAGCAGGCAGAGATCAGCAGAATGGCAGTTCAAAGCCGGCCCCAGGCAAAAGAGAACCTATCTCAGAAAAATAACACCACCACAAAGAAGGCTGGCAGAGTGGTTCAAGTGGTAAGAGCACTTGCCTACCAAGTGTGAAGCCCTGAGCTCAAACCCCATTGTAGCCAAAAACAAAGAATGGGTCCCTGATAATATAACTTTTAGTACATTTCATTCAGGATCTGTATTTTCTGGCACATTCTACTCAAATTAGCACAAGTCTTTTCTTATCATTTACTTTTATAGCATTAAACTACATGAGGAATTTTCACAGGACTTTGACACTATTTGTTACAATACACACACTTATTTTTCACAATGACAGGATTTGGGGAGGATTGTTATTTGGTCTTGCTGTGTAGCCAAATTGGCTTCAAATTTGCTGCATAGTCCAGGTAGACGTCAAAATTACGATGTACTAGCCAACAATGCCATAGTATTCAGATAAAAGGTGTACACACCTTCCCCCTTAGCAGCTTTTACATTTGATCACAGCCAAAATGTCTACAAGTAACTGCATAATGTCAGGTGTTCATCCAGTATGCATCTGTATTTGTAAGCCAAATAGAGACTGTTACACTTTGATGTTAGTCGAGATTTCTAATGCTGGGCCAGTGGCTCACACCTGTAATCTCAGTTCCCTGGAAGGCTGAGATTAGAAGGATCGTGCTTGAGGCCAGCCTAGACAAATAGTTTGAGTGATTGCATCTCCACCCATCTCCAAAACAAGAGAGCAAAATGGACTGGAGGTGTGACTCAAGCAGTAGAGCATAGATTTACAAGGCCAATTGCTTCTTATCTAAACAGTGTGCTTGTCAATCACTAGCATCTCTCTCTCTCTTTGGAGGATGCACTTGGAAATTCTAAAAAAAAAAACAACAGATTTCTGTCTTCAGTGATTTTACTTAATAAAGGACTTGACAGAACTCTCAGGCCCACTTTCCCTAAGGAAATGGTCACTCTACCTTCTGAGATAATTTCTGGTAAAAGAAGTTTTGGAGGGAAGAGTGACTTAAAAAGCAAAATACTTGAGCTGACGCAATGGTTCAAGCAGTAGAGCACCTGCCTAGCAAGCACGAGGCTCTGAGTTCAACCCCCAGTGCATGTTGGCGGGGGAGCAAAATACTTGCAAAACAAATATTAGTACCATTCTTGACACTCCCTCGTCCTCAGTGCCCACAGCCATCTACTTCTTCATTCAATTCCATCAACTCTACCTTCAAAAGTACTTTAAGCCTCCCATTTTTCCATCTCTGCTTTGTCATCTCCCTGGTCTAAGCCATGCTCATCTGCCACGATGGCTTTCATCCATAATCGACACTTGTCCTCATTGATCCTTCACACACCAGCAGAGTCGCCTTTTTAAAGGAAAGCCAGAACAGGCCTCTCCTTTTGAAAGCCCCTCACAGGCTTCCTAGTACCCTCTGAATATAGCCTGAAAAGGAAGCCTTGAAGACCTCCCCAAAGTCAGGACCCTGACCACCTCTCCAACTCAACAGAAACAACCCTCCTTCTTTTCTCCAGCCACAAAGACCTCCTTTCATTTCCTTAAAAATGGGTTTTTCCCTACCTCACAACCTTCACCCTCACAATTCCCTCTTCATGGCACTCCGCTGATGGCCAGCTTCTCATTCTCCAGATTAAGATAGCGTGGCCTTCATGCTCTCTTGTAATTTTCTTCAAAGGACTACTTGTGGTTATCATTTATTTGCTTGCTTCTTATTTCCTGCCTCTCACACCAAGAGTGAACTCCAAGGAAGCAGTGGCCATGGCTGCCTTGCTCACCATGGATGCCCTAAGGACAGGCAGGGAATGTTCCCAACATCTTATGAATAAATGAATGAGTGAGCAAGTGCGTGGACAGGTTAGCCCTCAGATAAGCGGGGAGGGAACCTAAAAGGAGAGGAGCCGGGCATAACTACAGGAGACACTGACCATGGCCTGGCAGCTTTAGTACAGGCTGTCTAATGCATTTCTTCTCAACTGCATCATCACTCTATGAAGCAAATACTTATCCCCATTTTACAGATGACAAAAGTGAGGTTCAAAGAGATTTTAAAAAAAAGATTTGTCCAAGGCCACACAGCAAGCAAGCAGAAGTACCAGGACCAGACCCATGTCTAGACCAGGACTTCCTCCTGAGAGCAGGTCCCAGGGTCTGCCCATGGCTCAGGCAACCTGACTGCCCCTCCATCTTGCCAAACAGTCCAGCACTACCAATCGTTAGAGGTTAAAGAAAACAGGAATTTTTCACAGTCCAGGAAGGAGAGCTTCCTAGCAATCAGTCCCAATAAGTGAGAGGCCAGCTGTAGAAGCCATAGATGTAATTAACTAACTACTGCTATTAGCAGTAGTGACCTCACTCCAGGCTAGGGATCCCACTCAGTCAGTGGATTAAGAGATCTGCACGAGGTCACTATTCCAGCCTGCTTACCTAGCTCCAAGGGAAAAAGAAGTCCCATCTGAACTGGCCAGGGGCCACAGCAGCTTACAAAAGTACCATGCCTGGGTGCCAGCCTCACCCTCAACCCCCATAATTCAGCTTCAAACACTGAGAAGATTGTACCAGGCCCTATAGGCTAGCAGTGAGTGACTGCCTGAGACAGATTCCCAGGCAGTTTCCAGAAACAGGCCTCAAGAGTCCTGGCAACCACCACTGACGAATGGATTAAGAAAATGTGGTATCTATACACAATGGAATTTTATGCAGCCATGAAGAAGAACGAAATGTTATCATTCGCTGGTAAATGGATGGAACTGGAGAACATCATTCTGAGTGAAGTTAGCCTGGCCCAAAAGACCAAAAATCGTATGTTCTCCCTCATATGTGGACATTAGATCAAGGGCAAACACAACAAGGGGATTGGACTTTGAGCACATGATAAAAGCGAGAGCACACAAGGGAGGGGTGAGGATAGGTAAGACACCTAAAAAACTAGCTAGAATTTGTTGCCCTTAACGCAGAGAAACTAAAGCAGATACCTTAAAAGCAACTGAGGCCAACAGGAAAAGGGGACCAGGAACTAGAGAAAAGGTTAGATCAAAAAGAATTAACCTAGAAGGTAACACCCATGCACAGGAAATCAATGTGAGTCAAAGCCCTGTATAGCTATCCTTATCTCAACCAGCAAAAACCCTTGTTCCTTTCTATTATTGCTTATACTCTCTCTACAACAAAATTAGAAATAAGGGCAAAATAGTTTCTGCTGGGTATTGAGGGGGTGGGGGGAGAGGGAGGGGGCGGAGTGGGTGGTAAGGGAGGGGGTGGGGGGCAGGGGGGAGAAATGACCCAAGCCTTGTATGCACATATAAATAATAAAATTTAAAAAATAAAAAATAAAACACTCTCACAGACATACCCCAAAAAAAAAAAAAAAAAGAGTCCTGGCAAGGAGCACAACCTGCTATTCTCTCTTATGGGCAAACTGCCCAAGATAACTACCTGAGCCAAGCACAGACAGACCCAGTGGGTACTGGGAAGAGGCCTGGGGAGCCTGGTTGGAAGGAAAGAAGTTGTCATGTATCAGGATCTCAGAGAGGATCAGCAGAGGAGAAAACAACCCCAGTTCTGTATTTAAAACAGTGGTTAGAAATTATACTCCTTGGCCAGTTGTGATGGTGCACACCTGTAATCCCAGCACTCTGGAGGCAGAGACAGGAAAACTGCAAATTCAAGGCCAGCCTGGGGTATATAGCAAGACCCTGTCAGAGAAGGAAGACATGGAGGGAGGAAGGGAGAGAGGGAGGGAGGGAGAAAAATGAGGGAGGGAGGAAGGGAGGAAAGGGAGAGAGAGTGGAAAAGAAATTATACTCCTGACCCATTCCCCGCTTAGGAACCAAGAGGGAGGAAGCTAATGTATATTGAGGGCCAAATACTGCATACTTTAAATCATTACAACCCTCAGGTTTACTCTTTCCTTCTCCCAGAGAAGGGAACTGATACTCAGAGAAACAGAAGAGACTTGCCCAGGGACCTGGTGGCCAGCAACTGGTGAACCTCAGGCTTGAACCAAGTTCTCAGACAGCCCAAACCTGTGCTTTTCCACATGCATTCAAATGAGAAAGGAGCTCCAGTTCCTTTGGAAAACATAATAGAAGACCACATTTCAGACAGCAGAGAAGAAAATAAAACGTCCAGATATAAACAGATCAAGAAATATTTTAAGGTTGGGAGTAGAATGCCTGCCTAGCAAGTGCAGGGCCCTGAATTCAATCCCCAGTACTGCCAAAAAAAAAAAAAAAAAAAAACCAACAACAAAATAAAAAGATTCAACACTGTAATAATATCAGTTCTCCCTAAATTAATTTATATATCTAACATTGATCCAATAAAAGTAATTATGGGGAGTGAGGAGGATAGGCAATGGGATAATGAAATATACTGAGAGATATAAAAAAGAAAAAGTAGCCAAGAAAACCCTAAAATAGCAGAAAATTAAGAAGGGGTAGACATAGAAGACACACTATCAATTTCTATTACCTTTTAGTGCCTGTCAAGGGAATGGTGAGAAATAGAGCAGAAAACTGTCACTTCAACCTTTTTCCATTGCACTGCCACCTCCCTCTGTCTAGTCTCTGTCTTTGGCTTGGCATCAATCTGCTTCTACTCTAACCATGCTAGCTTTCTTTCAGTTTCCCAAATGTTCGAGCTCCTCATCTGAAGACTCCTGCCCATGCTTCTTTTACCCTTCAACATTCAACATTCCCTTCCCTTGGCTAATGTCAACTCCTTCTCCAGGCTGCAGCTTAAATGTCACTACCCTAGACACACCTTTCTTGACTATTCAATCTGAAGTGCGTGCTCCCATTATTCTGTTTCTAGACATCCTTTAATTTTTCTTCAGTGTCCTCTCTCTAGACAATGAGCGCCACAAAGGCAGGGTCAGGAACTACTTCATTCACCACAATATACCCCAGAACTCATCACTGGATGTGGCAAACAGTAAACATTCAGTAGATATAGATATTTGTTGAAGAAGTAAGTGTAGAAATGGAGAATTACATCATTAGGATTCTGTAAGAGAAAGAAGGAATCTCTTTTAAATACCACTCCACCAGAACCAAAACAAAATAGAATTCATTTCCAACAGGAGATAGCTATCCTGTGTATGTACAAAGGCTACACAGAGTCTCAGAAGCAAGTGAATGGGAAGTGTGTGCTGCTTTCCATAGACATCAAGATTCTATTTTTCTACCTCCTGGCAGATCTTGGGCAATGGGACTTACCCCAAAGCTTTCAAACCTACCTACAAGAATGGGTATGCAGCATTGCCCTCTGGCATCCTCCTCTGCCTGGCTAGGCCACATCCCACACATCATCATGGCTTGGGTACTCTTTGCACATCTTTTTTTCAGCTCTCAGAATCCAGCAGGCACTTAATTACTGTTTCTCAAAGTAAAACTAACCAGGACACAATTTGTTGGCCTGACACAGATGGTATGCACCTATCTGAGAAAGAAATAAGCCAGCCAATTAGACCATGGGGTACCCGGGTGGAGTTCCTTACCTGGCTTCTGTTTGGATACTGGAACCTCACAGGTTTTGTTGCAGCCAAACGTACAACATTTCTTTAAACCTGGACATGTCTCATCAGTAGTGCACCTTCTAAAACAGGATGATGTCTGAACAACCTTGGGACAATCTCCTTCCCTCCCTGTTACAAAAACAAAGACAGAAACAGAAAGGAGATAGTGGTGTCTGGTGAACTATAGGCACAGCAGAAAGGAGAATCAAAGGAAGGAAGTCCTAGACTGCACTTAAGCCTCCCAACAGTAGTGCTAAAGCAAATGCTGTAGCAATGGTAGTTACCATTTACCATAACATTTACTGATTTTTACCTTTTTCTGGGAAAATCTCACTTGATCGTCACAATTATCCCTATTTACAAATGAAGAAACTGAGGCTAAAAACTTAAAATTTAAGCAAGGGATGTAGCTCAGTAGTAGAGTGCTTGGCAAAAAAAATGGGATTAGCTCAGTGGTAGAATGTAAATTTTGCATGCACAAGGCACTGGGTTCAATTCCCAGCACTGTTTTTTTATATAAAAAAAAAAAACTTAAGATTTAAAAATTGCTATTTGAGGCTCAAAAATAGTCTGCCTTGTCTTAGGGTCTAGTCTCTCTCTCTTTCCTCTCTCTCTCTCTTTCTCTCTCCCTCTCTTTCTTTCCAGTACTGGGAATTGAACCAAGGACCTCACACATGGTAGGCAGGTGCTCTACCACTGAACTACATGCCTAGTCAGGTCTGCTCTCTTAATCACTACCTTTTTTATATGATTTTTCTTGCTTAAATTGTTTATTTGCTGAATTAACTGACTAAATGTTTCAAATTTTGGAGTCTCTACTGCAGGCAATTAAATTTACCTACAAATAAGTCTGATTCTTCCAAGCTTATTTGTAAGCTTTGTAAACATGGAACTAAAGCAATCTTTACCCTTGAGCTAATTTAGCCCCACTACTAAAACAAAACTTTTCCAAGGTCTCTACCTAATATTCCTATCAACACAAAATAACAATTCTGCTTTGAAATAAATAAAAATAGTTTATTTCTAGGCAAAAATGATTGATTGGTTCAGGAACATGGATTCAAATTACACTGAATGATGTGCTCTGAAGTGAAATAGCTTACATAGGCCTTTATAACCAAGAAAATCATAAATCAATACATTCAACAAATAACACTAGTGAAGGCAGGAAAGCTACAGTAGAGCAGAGAAATCTCTGTGGTCTGCTAAACTTAACAATATATTCCAAGGGGTTCTGTCACCAGGTGAGGGGGCTTCCAGAGCTCCCCCGTTTCCATGGAAAAAAATCACAGGTACTTGAGATTCACTCATGAAAAGCATTTCAAGGTGTCTCATGGCAAGGAGTCTCACAAAGTGGAAGTTTTAGAGAGTTTATTTTAGTACATCAGGATAAAGTAGGAAGAAATGGAGAAAAGAAAGGAAAAACGGTTCCTGTTCCTCACACAGGAAATGGAAGTAAAGACTCAAAACTTAATCACTATCTTAAACAGGCTTTCTTTGACAGCTCTACCTTTCTTTGGACTTGCAGGAACTGAGTCCAAAGTAAAAGACACCAATAATCAGTGGTGCATGCTTTCCTGACAGAAAGCAAAGAACTAGAGAACTGAGTGGTTAAAAGACAAGGGACCCCAAAATGGGAAAGAAGAACTGTTCTAGGCAAGTTAGACTTTAAGAGACAATCTAGGAAGTAGGAAGCTCTCTGGTTCTATCCATTCCAGAGACAAGGCCAGAGAGCACACTAGGATACTGTTCCTCATGTCAACGTACCTTTTGGAATGTCTCCTTGGCAGACCAGACCACAGCCTGTGCTGCAGCACTTCTGCCCAGCAGGACACGATTCATCACTCTGGCAAAGCTCTTTGCACAGGTTCTTATCAGGAGGGCATTCTCCTTCTTTCACTGTAAAAGATATCATAGAACATTGAGGTAATTGACTAGAACTCAAAAAAATGGAGAATGGAGGTCAAATGTACTTCAAGGACTTTAGTATCTCATAGCATTCCTAATTAAAATATCCCTGCAACTATCTTCTCCTCCTATCACACAATTACTAAAAACACCACCACTATTAAAAGCTCTGATGTGCTGCAGATACAGAGAGAAAAGAGTTAGGATGATCCTGTCTCATTTAATGAGCTCTAGAGAACAGCTGGAACCTCTAGGAAGTCCTATCTCCTTATCCACAAAGGGTAACTGTCCTGATCTAACAGGGACTTAGAAACTGCTTTTGCTGAAAAGCACTGACTCCTCACTTAGGCCCACAAGGTAATTAAAGGCAACACAAAGGCTTAGCCATTTTGCTTCTGTCTCCTTTGCTCTGAGTCTCTCTCTTTCCTGCATTCACCTTGGGCTTCAGGAAGGACTAATCTCTAACATTTTAATGACAAAAGACCAACACTACCCCCCCACCCCACCCCCACAGCCTGTGCTGCAGCACTTCTGCCCATCAGGACACGATTCATCACCCTGGCATCACCATAGAACAGCACAGCTTCACAGGACAGATTACCCCACACACACACACACAAATAAGGACCATTATCTATAATTATGAGGATATAACCTGGAGCAGGAATAATCATCTTATGGGAATGAGACTGCTTCCCTCAAATGATGACAGTACTCCTCACAGAACCAGAACTAAGATAATATTCCCAGGCCACACTTTGCCCAGGACTGTTTAATTATGCATACCTCCGGTCCCCTGCCCCCAATTCTTCTATTTAAACCTAAAGCGCATGTCAGCATCCTAAAGATGGGCTGAAATGCTGACCTTCCCTCTTCCTGCACACAGCCAGTGCATTAGTAAATCTCCTTTGTCTGACCTGCACCACTGCTTATCTCTTTAATTGGCATATTGAGGCAAGTGAGCAGACCTGACATGTTGGAACCCTGAGAGTTGGTCTTCTGGCCTAGGACTCTGGTTACATTGAGAACCTATACATACAGTCCTGTCCTACAGAGATCATCTCCACAAATGAGGAATCTCACCCTGGGAGGAGGCAGGAGATGACTTCTCCCTAGTCATTTTCTGTTACTGTTACCCAGGGATCCCAAGAAATAGCTCACCTTGCTCTCCTGCAGCTACCGAGGATGCCAGGGACCCAACAGCAAGAAGAGCCTTCAAAAGGAAGAAGCAGCTTAACATCCTGGTAAGAGTTAAGATGAGAGCTCAGTTCAGCCCAGACGTAGACACCAAGGAAAGGGCAGGACTAGGGGATTGCCCTAAACCCAGTTCCAAAATCTTCTCTTACGTAACAGTCCCCAAGAATATCTTCTCCTGACAAGAATGATTGGTTGCTGGTGTGCGGGAAAATTCCTGGCACTACCAAAGAACACATGTGATGGGAGTGATCAAACTCTAATGCAATATATACTACACCCCTGGACAATGATGAAGAACCTAGTGGGAAGCTGGAAAAAAGGAGGGATAGCCACTGGATAAAGGATCAAAGAGAGATCTACAGGACTTTGGAAGGATTCAGCTTCAGACAAAGTGACAGTGGGAAGGGCTAACAACATAACATAATAAGAAGATAACCTAGGTACTAAAATAATGGCATGTGGCTTCTGCTCATCCTAGCAACCTAGAAAAGACAGAATGGAACAAATCACATAGAAACTAGTAAAAAAATACAGAAAAGCAGTATCTAGATTTTTCAGAACTAATACAAATGCACCAAAATCCTACATGTTGATCCCAGTAGACTACGTAGGCTGTTATTGGACCAATTTAAAACTAGTTGGCAAATCAAGAGAATTATGACTCAAATAGTTTTGTCTATGCCTCCCTTTATTTCTTCTTCCTCTATTTCTTTTTATTTTTACTTATCCATTTTGTTCATGTCTTTGCTTAGCTGATTCTTAATGGTGTCCACTGGCACTGCTAAGCCCTGTAGGTTAAAGGACAAGGGATATTCAAAGCACAAGGTAAAAATCTCTTTAGTATAGCCAAAGAGTTTGATGCAAGGAAGTTGCCTTTAATGTTATAAGAATTAACATTTGTTCATTATCTAATATGTGTTTATATACATTGTTCTAATCCACACAATAATCTTTTCTTTCGTTTTGTTGAGACGGCGTCTTGTCATATAGACCAGGCTAACCTCAAACTCACTATGTAGCCCAGGCTGGCCTTGAACTTCCAATACTCCTGCCTCAGCTCTCAAGTGCTAATAGTACAGGTATGAGCCGTGACACACAGCTCTACACAATAATCTGGCAGAGGTAAGAGAAACTGAGAAAAAAATTGTCCATAGTTGATAGCCACTAGAAGTTACTATTATGGTAACAATATAACATTGTTTTGAGTTTTTACTTGTGCCACAGCTTTAATCGTGAATTAACTCACTTAATACTCACTATAACCTTATCAACCAGGTGCTATTTTTCCCACTTTACAACTGGGAAAATGAGGCACAGAAAGTTTAAGGAACATGAGTCACACTGCTAGTAAGCAGTAGAACAAAGGCATGTTTTTTATTTCATTTTTGTTTTTGTGGTGCTAGGGATCCAACCCAAGGCCTTGTGCATATGCAAGCAAAGGGCTTCATAACTTAAGTTACATTCTCAGCCCTTGGCTTTGAGACAAGATCTCACTATGTAGCCCAGGCTGGCCTCCAGAGTCTCCATCCTCCTGCTTCTGCCTCCTGAGTGCTGGAATTACAGGCCTGTACCACCGGACCATAGCCAATGTTCTTAACCACCATATCATATCGGAAATGAACCCAGATCTTCTAACTGCAAAATTCATTAACTTCCTATTACTGGATATTGTCACCTGGTAAGAGTAACTTTCTCTACCATCCATAAATGAATCCAATTCTATTCAGAGACATGTTACATCTGAGACAGAGCAAAAGGGACCTCTGGAGAACACCACAGCTGTTAATCCTTCATCCTCAACCTGTTCCAGAATTACCCATCTGGAGAGGGGAACCCAAATCCCTGGGACAAAGGAAACCTCACGAGCCAAGTTTCATTCTGATGCCTTCAGACACAACAGGCAGTCCCCAAGATCAAAGGCTGGAGAGACCCAGAGGATGTTTTGAATGGCACAGACCAGACTTCACTTTTGGGGTTTCCTGGTCCCGGCATTAGACCCGCTCCAATTCTGGGGGTTCGTCACAGGCATATAAGAAGAAGCAGTTTTCAAAGAATGAACTACAGGTACTCCGATCCAAAATGCTCTCTCCTCCGCAACCCCAGCCCATAGAAATCAGCTCCGCTCCTTCTACCCCTACCCTCCTCCGCTTCGCCCCCCTGGAAATCCCCGTTGACTGAACGGCACTGGAAGACCACACTCCACCACCACCACCATCACCACACCCACACCCACACACACCCACACCCACACGCACACACACGCGCGCACACACACCCACACCCCCCCACACACACACACGCGCGCGCACACACCCACACCCCCCCACACACACGCGCGCGCGCACACACACCCACACCCCCCCACACACACACACACGCGCGCGCGCACACACCACACACACACACGCGCGCGCGCACACACACCCACACCCACACACACCCCCCCACACACGCGCACACACGCACACGCACGCACACGCACACAAGGTCTTTACGTGCGGCCAACCGGAGCGAGACACCGCGGTTCGGTTACCATGATAACCTGCAGCTCTCCAAGTCGCGTTTCCTGGTCCGCGAGCGTCGCGTTCCAGTGACGTCACGGCGCCACTTTCCGGCCGGTGGCAGAGTCGAGCTGAAGTTGTGGGGTCAGGGGCGCCATGGGGGCCACTGGCGACGCCGAGCAGCCGCGGGGACCCGGCGGGGCCGAGCGCGGGGGCTTCGAGCTGGGGGATGCGGGCGCAGCAGGGCAGCTGGTTCTCACGGTGAGGACTTCCCCGGTGAGACCTGGGCTCGGGCCGGGCAGGGCCTCGGGCTCCCGGGACCCAGGTCCGCGGGCGAGAGAACGCGGGGGCTGCAGCAGCCGAGGGGTTGCCGTTTTGGCAGTCCGACGACCTGGATGTGTACGCCAGGGCTGCCTTCCTAGTTAGGCGACGGGGGCCTGTTTGAAAACCCCCTGAGCTCCAGGTTTCTCTTTCGTAAAATGGAGATGATTAGAACCAACCTTATGAACTTACGGGGTTGGGATGATACAGGCGGGTAACGCGCCCGGCACTTCACCGGCCAGGGTAGACCCTCTGTAAACATTGGGTCCCTTCTTCCTGCAGTTCCAGAAAAGGCGGGATTGGGACTTTGGAAGCAGGAAACGTCCTCAGTTCCTCTTCCCGGGCAGGACCTTTCAATCACTCCCGTTTACTCCAAGTTCGGAGAAGTGATGAAAAGATCTGAGAAGCAGCGATGACTAGGCGTAACCTCATACCCACTATCCACCCCATCCCAGGGTCTCGGGCCTCCGTGACATTTGCTCCCTTGATCCCCACAGAACCCTTGGAACATAATGATAAAGCACCGGCAGGTGCAGCGGAGGGGCCGCCGTTCACAGATGACGACAAGGTAATGCAGACCTTGGGTGGGACTCTTATCCCAGGCACTGACTTGGATGAGAGCTTTGGGGTTCCCATTGCTCAAGACTGGGAAGAGATCTACAGCCCAACAAAAAGAGCACTGAAGTCGGAAAGATTCAGTAGTTTTGTGTGATCCTGAGCAAGCCACTTCAAATTCATCTATAAAATGTGGGCAGGGAACAGATTGAACAATATCTAAAATCTCTAATATTCACTAGCTCTGTGGCTGGGAGCGCTAAAGAGGTCAAAGAGCGTGAAAGTTAAGAGCACAGACTCTCGAGTCAAATAACTGTGTCGTAGTGCAGACGCTGACATTTACTGTGAAACCTTGGACAAGCCACTTAACATCTCTTAGCCTCTGTTTTCTCAACTATAAAGTACAGCTAATAGTGGTGTCCAGATCAGGGAAGGAAGAGAGCACAGAATGGGTCTTTGGAATGCTGGTTATATTTTTTGACATGGGTACTGATTAAATGAATGTTCAATATGGTTATTTGTCAAAACGTGTGGACTTATCTGTATAAATACTGTATTTCATAAAACACTTTGAAAATAATAGCCACTTCATAAAGTTATGAGAGTGATTTGCCCTAATCTAAGCACATAGCTGGTTTTAAGTGAAAGCTGTCTAGTATGCTATTAAAGGATCCTGAGTCAATAATTGGCTGGCCAAACTAGGAAGGGATATGTTTGGGGAACATCACCTGATTCTGTTTCTCTGTTAAATGCAGTTTCACAGATCCTGCCATCTCTATGGATCTCCTCCGAGCTGTCTTGCAGCCAAGCATCAATGAAGAGATCCAGACTGTCTTCAACAAGTACATGAAGGTGAGAGGAACATGATGATTAAAAACTAACATGGACTCAATCCCCAGCAGTACAAAAAAAAAAAAAAACTGGGTGCAGTGGTACATACTTGTAGTACCAGCCTCTCAGGAAACTGAAGCACTCAATCCCCAGCAGTACAAAAAAAAAAAAAAACTGGGTGCAGTGGTACATACTTGTAGTACCAGCCTCTCAGGAAACTGAAGCAGGAAGATTGCAGCCAGACATCGTAGTAAGACACCATCTCAAAAAACAAAAACTCCTGGACAGCCCTGTTCTTCCTGCATCACCAGTCTCTCTCTACATATAGTACATAGATACCTCAAATTTTCCAATTCTGAGCCCCCTTCTCCCAAGAACTCTTTCCTGTTTGGGAGTAATTCCAGCTTTTTTTTTTGCCAAGCTGTTATAGGGATAAAATGACTTATATGTAATGTGCTCATCACATCTTCTTGGAACATAACAAGTGTTCAACAAGTATTCTTATTTCTTCTTTGATATTATCTCCATTATTATTTAAAATTGTTTTCTTTCTTTTTTTGGTGATATTGGAATTTGAACTCAGGGCCTTGCCTTTGCTAGGCAGGCACTCTACCACTTGAGCCACGCCCCTGACTTAAAATTGTTTTCTTGGGGCTTGGGATGTAGTTCAGTGGTAGACCACTTGCCTACCATGCAAAAGGACCTAGATTTGATCCCTAGAACCACAAAAGAAAAAAGTATTGACTCACTACCATACTACCAGGCACTATTTTAGGTACTGGGTACCTTTTGCCTCTTTAAACAAATATATTCTTTGTTAGAGAATGAGAAAAGAGAAGGGGGAGAGAGTGACCACTGGAGTCTAGGGTTATTTTTTTTTTTTTTTATTTTGTGGCTCAGAAAGGGAGGACATTTGAGTGGAGCCTAGAATAAAGTAAGGAAAGAGCAAGCCATGCAGACACATTACAGGCAAGCATTCCAGGTGCTGAGAAAAAAGGCCAAGGCCCTGAGGCAGGAGTGTACTTGGCACATTCAAAGCAAGAAATTGATCAGGGTGGTTGGAGTAGACTGACTCTGGAGAGCAATAGGAAAGGTCATATAAAACATTTGAAGTGACTTCAGATTTTATTGTGATAAAAAGAGAGGCTCTTGGGGTTTGGAGCACAGCATGTGATCTGAACATTTTAAAAGGATCACTGACTATTTTGTAGAGAATAGGCTGAGGGAGAACCAATTAGAAAGTTTATAAATAGTCCCAGCAAGAGATGATAGTGGTTGGAGTGTTAGCAGTAAAGATATTAGGAAAGAGGCAGATTATGGATGTATTCTAAAAGTAGCAACAGGATTTGCTGTGATTCAGATGTGCAGTATAGAATAAAAGGAAATGGCAACTTCCAAATTATTTTTACTGGGCAACTATAAAATCAAGTTGCCTTTGACTTGAGGAGGACAGGAACAAGGAGGAGGGAGATGTGGAGCTCAATTTTGGACCATCATTCACTTAGAAACCAGAAAACTGGGGATGCTGCCTTCTCCTCCATCTTTATTATACAGTGGTCTAGTCCTGTATAGCCCGTGTCCCAGTCTGTCAGGCATGCCCTTCCACACCCCTGCCTTGGATTAGGCCTCCATCATTTCTCACTCAGTCTCCTACTGTAGTCCCTCAGTGACTATGTATTAGTCATACTTTCTCATTGCTGCGACAAAATGCCAGACATAAACAAATTAAGGGAGAAAGGATTTATTTTGGCTTGTCGTTTCAGAGATTTCGCCCATAGTCTTAACTGTTGATTCTGAGCCTGTGATGATACAGAACATTTTGTCAGTGGGAGTGTGTAGGGGAAGAGGTTCTTAGCTTATGGCAACCAGGAAGCAAAGAGCAAGGAAGGAACTGGAGACCAGGTATAACCTTTAAAGACATGCCCCCAGTGACCTCCTTCCTCCAACTAGCTCCTACCTTCTGAAGTTTCCAGAACTTCCCAAAATAGTGCCACCACCTGGAGCCCAAACCTTCAACACATGAACCTGTAGAAGACATTTGATATTCAAACCATAACACTCTGTTCTTCCCTTCTTTCAACCCATCCTCTATACAGCCACCAGAGTAACCTCTAAAATGTGAATAAATCCAGAGATGTCACTCCTGTATTTAAAATTTCTTAGCAGCTTTCCATTGTCTTCAGGTAAAATCCCAACTCCTTAACATGACATACATGGCCCACTAGGAAAAAGTAGGCCAGGATTCACTCCAAGATTGTCTGTCTCCAAAGCCCTTTCTTTGTTGCTTCCCAACTGTGAATACCAGGATTCAGGAAATTTCTCTCCTGTAAAAATGCTAAATAAACATAATTTATGGGCCAGGTGTGGTAGCTCCTGCCTGTAATTGCAGCTGTTTAGGAGGTGGAGACAAGAACATGGAGGATCAAGGCCAGCCCCAGCAAAAATTAACAAGACCCTATTTAAAAAGTAAGCAAGGTGTGGCAGTGCACATCTGCAATCCCAGCTACTTGGAATCACAATCAAGGTTCGAGATGAGCCCTGGCAAAGTTAGCTTCAGACCCTATCTAAAAAACAAAACTAAAAAGCACAAAGAGGTAGAGGCAGCGAGTGGGGGCTGGTAGAGTGGCTCGGGTGTCACTGCCCCTGCCTAGCAAGCATAAGGCCTGAGTTCAAACACCAGTACCACCAACAAAAAAAGAAAAAGAAAGTATTCATTAAAAAACAAACAAACCAAAAAAAAAACATTTTAAAAAATCAGGGGTGGACTGGTGGAGTGGCTCAAGTGGTAGAGCACCTGCCTAGCAAGCATGGGGCCCGGAGTTCAAACCCCAGTTCTGCCCGTGTCCCCCCCAACCCCCGCAAAAAAAATCAAAACTAAAAGTTACTAAAACTCACCTCACAGATAT